GAATAGAGGAGATGCGTAGACAGGACCAAAATGAAAGATGTAGTGCTTTGGTGAGTTTAAGCCTGAGTTCGAGTGGACTCCCAGCTCCTGATTCTAGAGCCCAGGAGTGGGGATCCCAAGAATGAATGGGAGAGAGACGGGGGCACATGGGGGCTGGATGGGGCCCTGCTCGCGCTGGGAAGAGAGCCTCTGTCACCTCCCACTGCCTGCTAATCTATGCTTCTGAGGAAAGTCAGGAGCCCTCATTTGGGCCACTCTTCCTAAGGAAGTTGGGAAAGGGGAGCTCCTGACAGCCTGGTTCAAGGTCACAGAGGTAGCTAGTCAAGCCTGTCCCCCGAGATTTGGAGGGGTCTCCATGATGGACTGGCCTGAAGCCCTGAGCTCATCTGGCCTATGGGGTGACCTTCCCCACCCCCAGTTCATGGTTCCCCTGGAAGCAGCCTCCCCGATCCACAGACTCTAGAAGGGCCCAACACGCACCGTTCACACTCACACTTGGCCAGTCTCGCTTAGTTAGAGCCTGTGTGTGTGTACGTGTGCTGGCTTGGTTCCATTATTGGCTGGGTGGATAAGAGCTGGCTCAGGCTATAAGCCTTGGCCTCGTTGCTTCCCACGGGTGTGACTTTGAACCAGGCCTCTACCTCCTTAGTCTCCATGAATTGTGTCCCTCAGCCCCGTCTCCAGGGTCTAGCACTTCTGTGGATGGTGCTGGCTGTCACCAGCATTGCTGTGGTGAGTGGTTGTTCCATCTGCGGTTCTGCAGGCTGAGCAGAGGCACCGGGCAACTCTGGTGCCCAGTGCTCCTCACGGAGACCCCTGCGGGATTCTGGTCAAGGGATGACCCAGCATGCTGCTGAGTCATCCAGCCAGGCCACAAGCACCATCAGGCCTGATTCTGGGCCAAGCGTGTGTGGAGTGCTGGATCCATTATGATGAAAGACGCAGGTGTGGCCCTGGCCCTCTTGGCCCTTTGGGGTCTGTCTGGGGAAAAGACTGCAAACAAGTGACCCACGCACTGTATAATCACCTGTGAGCATGCGTCAGGCTGCAGTGACACTGGGCACTGACTGGGGCGGCCTGGCCTATGGGGGATCAGGACAGGCCTCCCTGGGGTGGTGGCGAGAGCTGGGCAGAAAGTTCCTTCTAAGTAGCATAGGAGCAGGAAGAGGACACAGCCCCAGTGGAAGGCCCTGACGTGGGAGGGCCAGAGCCCAGGGGTGGAACTGAGAATCAGAGGGTGGGTCTGGAGCCTGGGGAAGGGTGTACGTGCGTATGTGGGCATGTGGGGCTCTGGATATCCATCATCTTCATCCAGGCTTTAGGGTAATAGGGAGCCATGGCAAGTTTAACAGGGTCAGAGCAACAAAATCAGCTTTGTGTTTTTAAAACAGCTCAGGGGCTTCTGGGAGAGCAGATTGGAAGCTGGGAGACTGGGGAGGGATAAAGGGTCCTGGCCAAGGTGAAGGCAGAGGCAAAGGGGCTTGCCTTGTATCAAGGATGGTTCTGAGTGCCTGGGGGTTCAGCCCCCCACTGCTGCTGACTAGGGCAGCAGTTCTGTGCGTCCCTTTCCTGCCTTTGCAGCCACTATGGACAGCAGGTACTGATGACCATGGAAGCCATTTCAGACATGATCTGAAGGGCCCGGAAAACTTTCCAAGGTCTGGGTGCAGGCCTGGACTTGCCTGCTGTCCTTTGGGCTCCCACACCCTGGAGGGACAAGCGTGTGACAGGTGGTTCTGTCTGCTTCTGTACGTGGCCTTGGAAGTGGAGCAGCTTCTGTACAGTGGTGCCAGCCCTGGCCAAGTGTGACTCATGACCTGCTCTAGTGGTGTTGAAATCCTTCATTTTGAACATGAAGTCTTGTGTTCTCATTTTGCACGGGGTCCACGAGTTCTGTCGCCTATCTTGTCTTGCCTGAAAGCCAGTAGAGGCCAGTGAGAGGATTTCAGGAGGGACACCGGGCCATGAGTGCCTCTTCCCTTAGCCAGCCAGGCCTGACGCAGCACTCCCTGGCATCTGAGGAGAGAGAGAATCACGATCTGTGAACTTGGGGAGCAGGACCAGGTGACTTTGAACTTATTTGCAAAATTCCCCTGCTGCACAGAGGCTCATTGATGGAGTCCTGTGTGCCTGGCAGGTGTGGGCACCTTTGGGTAGCAGCTGTGCATGGGCGCTGTGGGGTGGGAGCCCATAGTGTTCCATGGTGCACACATAGAAAAAGCTTAGTGTGCACAGGGCTGGGGTCCTAGTTACCCCTTCACCCCTGAGCAGAGATCTGAAGGTCTGCCTGGAAAGTCAAGGTCATTAAGAACAAACACCAGGCTGCCTTACAGGGGAGGTGTCACTATGTGGAACTCATCATTTTAAGAGCTTGTGTAATTCAGGAATATAAATGAGGTCAGAAAGGACCTCAGGTCAGATTAGGGCTGGCAGGTCTGCTGGCACCGGAGCCATACAATCTCCAGCTGCTGACGCCTGCCTCCAGAAGTTTCTGTCTATGGCTGCTGACTGTGTGACAGCATTAATGCACTGAATGGTCACTGAAGCCTGGCAGGTGGAGATGGGTGGGATTAGCATTTGTGCTGATGGAAGAGGGTGCAGTGCGGACCATTTGTGACGTGGCCATGGAGTTAGTAGCTAGAGCTGAGGTTGCTCTGTGCCCCTAAAACTGCATCCTTGACCATATCCCTCCCGGCTCCCTGGCCAGAGCACTACAGGTCTTGTGCTGATCTAGAACCTGACACTGTGCTGGACCCTTGTTCTGAGTAATGCCCCACATGAGACACTGCTGGTTGCCAGCTCATGAGGACTGTCACCTGTCTGTGACTGGGCCATGTCCTGGGCTTCAGAGAGAGTGGCCATGCTGGTGCTAAGCCCTGCTCCCCAAAATAAAGCCTTCAGCTCTTTGGAAGTAAGAAAGGCCAAGGCCAGAGCTAAGTGCTGTTTGCAGGTTTGCTTTATGTCTTTTAAAAAAAACACCAGGCTGAGGTGTGGCTCAGTGGTAAAGCACTTGCCTAGCATGTGTGAGGCCCTGAGTTCCATCCCCAGCACTGAGAAGGAAAGACAAAGCAAAACACTAAAAAATACTTGTCCATCACTGTGGAAACAGCAATGGGTACCTTCTGAAGCATGGGACTGGACCCCAGGTGGGCGAAAGCCAAGTCCCAGAGAGAGGAGGCCCTCTGCCTCCCACACCCAGGATGACAGGGAGAGGATCAGCAATGCCCCCCACTGCTGCAGACAAGGACCGAGGGATTGGGGGTAGGGAGCTGCCAGGTTCCCTCGGGGCTGGGTCAGAGATGGCCTGCTAGGCAGATGTGACCCTAGTTTGTGAGCTTGCCAATGAAATAACAGAAAAATGAGCAAAGTCAGCCTCCTAATCACTCCTCCTATAGGGGCCCCGACTTAGCAACATTTTTGTGGTAAAGTGGTCTTCAGTGACCCAGGAGAAGAATGCCATGTCTGTTGTACATTCATCACACCATCCATCTCCAGAACTTCATCTTTACCACCTGAGACTCCGTCCCCTTTCAACACCATCTTTCCCTGCAGCCCCTAGTCTCCCCAGCCCCTGGCACCACTGAAGGTGGTGCACTCAATTTGGCTTGAGTGCAGTCTTTGTGCTGGGCTTCTTTCACTTAGCATGGTGTCCTTAGGCATTTCCTTCCCTTTCAAGGCCAAGGAATACTGCTTGTGTGGAGTGACCTCATTTTCTTTATCCATGCATGATGCACATGCATGTTGCTTCTGTCCTTTGGCCCTAATGAGTTGTGCGTGAACAGAAACGCACTTTTACAAGTCATGCATTCCTGATGGCCCGGCCTATCAGGTGGGCAGAGGAGCAGTAGGACAGCAGCTCAGGCAGAAATGGGGTGGATCAGCCAGGCCCCCTGGGGCCCAGGCCTCACTATTTAGCCCAATGTCACCTGTGAAATGTTGCCTCACCACCCCCCTCTACCCCCCACTGCCTTGATTTTCCTGTAGGGTGGGATTGATTAGAGGTGATGGTGCTTGAGTTCGTCATGCTGAGAGGCCCTGAAACCTTGGGTGAGCCCCGCCATGCCCACAGGCATGTGGAAGCAGAGCTCTCCACGTCCCCAGAATAATGCGGAGTGGGCTGGCTGGTCGGTCCTCTTTGGTCTGAATTATTATTATAATGCCAACCACAACAGGCTGTCATTTGCTCTATGTCCTGCCCTGGGCTAGTAGCCCTTGCAGTGACCCCAGGGGCAGGTGTGACACCTGAGGTCCGTAGGGGGATGGAGGAACCTTACCCAGGATCTCATGCCACTGAGGAAGCTTAAACTTGCAGCCTGTGGGATTCCTGTATCCAGACTGGACACCCTGGTGCCCAGGAGATAAAGGCACATCAGGAAAAGCCTGGGTAGCAGAGCCCTGGCAGTCTAAGTCGGGAGGCATTGCTTAGCATGGTAAGGCCGTTCTGAGAGTGGGAGGAGCCCTGGTCAGGTTTTCTCTGATTCTGTTGATCCAAAAAAAGGGTCAGGGGTCAGAGGGAAGGTCTCAGTCAAGATCATGGGGTTCTGCTGGGCTGCACGTAGACATCCACTGGTGTCTGTGGAGGTCCAGCCCTGCCAGCCTGGGGTGTGTCCGGGTTTGCCATTACTGCTGACCGCTTGCAAGTTCTTTCAAGTGATATCCCACTCAAGGCTTGAGGCAACTAAGGCTTCCCCAAATCCCCACATCCCAAAGGTTTTGGGCCTAGTGAGGGACCACTGATTCCTGGGGGCTGGGGAGCTCTGATTTGAGAGAGCTGGAGAGCAGGATGGACTGTGGAGGTGGGCTGGGTCTGGGGCTCACCGACCTGGTACTGAATATCTGTTTGCTAACTGACTCTCCTGTCTTTCCCAAGGGTGAGTCTCATGGAGAGAGGTGGCTGGGTCTGTTGAGTTCATTCTGTCCACCAGCCCTAGCCCACCACGAGGACCCAGAAAAGCTCGGTCCAGTGGCCGAGCGAGTGACCTGGCCTTCCTTTTCCATAGGTCCAGCTGGGAGCTCCCTGACCTCCAGGAGGGCAAGATTGAAGCTATCAGTGACTCGGATGGGGTGAACTACCCCTGGTACGGCAACACCACAGAGACCTGCACCATTGTGGGCCCCACCAAGAGAGACTCCAAGTTCATCATTAGCATGAATGACAACTTTTACCCCAGCGTCACGTGGGCTGTGCCGGTCAGCGAGAGCAACGTGGCCAAACTGACCAACATCTACCGGGACCAGAGCTTTACCACGTGGCTGGTGGCCACCAACACCTCCACCAATGATATGATCATCCTGCAGACGCTACACTGGCGCATGCAGCTCAGCATCGAGGTCAACCCCAACCGGCCCCTGGGCCAGCGCGCCCGGCTTCGAGAGCCCATTGCCCAGGATCAGCCCAAAATCTTGAGCAAGAATGAGCCCATCCCGCCCAGTGCCCTGGTCAAGCCCAATGCCAATGACGCTCAGGTCCTCATGTGGAGGCCCAAGTACGGGCAGCCGCTGGTGGTGATTCCACCTAAGCACCGGTAACAGCCAGCGCGGCCGGCTGGGGTAGACTCACAAATAATAATTCCGCTCAGAACAAAACCCGACGTACTCTTCGGTCATTCAGCAAAATACAACCATTCTACCTTCTCCAGCAGGCGCTCTCACTGTGCTGATGCCCTCGATGGCCTCCCTGGCAATGGCACCTGCTTCCCTATGGGGAGGGGGGAGACCAAGTGGGACAGACAGACCCCAAGGGTTACCGCTGGTCTCCTTTCCTCACAATCTCAGTCGTTCACTTGCAGCCGATTCCCAAAAACACTGCTTTTTTTTTTTTTTTTCTTTTTAAACTTCTCTTTATGGGGTTCAGGGAGGGAGGAGAAGGAACTGATTGTGAGGACACCCAGGCCTCAATCAAGCCTGACCTGTGCTGTCCATGTGTTGTAGCGGCAGGCCTTCCCTTCCTGCCTCCCCTCGTCCTCTGCCACGCGGCCTTATGTAGACTTGCTTCGCCAAATTTTTGCCTTAAGCTGAATTTAAAGGAAAAAAAAAGGGACACAGGATCTCTTTCCTCCTGGACCTTCCTCTTCTGCCAGAGGCGAAGGGAGGGGCTGGCCCAGATGGGACAGCTATCTGAGCCCCTCTTCCTGGTAGTCTGGGCAAGGGGTAAAGGCAAGGGTCCAGGCCTAAAACCAGCTGTTTGTTCCTTGTTTTGGCAGAAACAAAACCACAGACATTCTGCCTAAGAGCCTCCTTCCTCCCCAGCCCCCACCGGGTAGAATCCCTCCCTGGTACTGCAAGAGGGGGTGTGAGCTTGGGGGAGCATATCTGCAGCCCCCTCTTCCCTCCCAACTCCCAGCAACCTTATCTTACCCAGGTGATTTTGGGGGGAGGTGAAGGTCCTGTGAGCAGTGGGCTGGGCTCAGGGAACCTTCAACCATTTCCGTTTCCAAGGCCAGCCCCTCTAAGTGTACGGCTTTTTCTTTTTATCCACAGTGGTCCCAAATACCTGAGGGCCACCACCTGGCCTTTGAGTAGGTTTGGGTCCCAAGGCAAGGAAGGCCTCTCTTCCCTTCTTGCACTTCATCGTAAGGGTTCAGGCCTTATGCTGGACTGGCCATCAGTAGTGCGCTGCAGACAGGGCTTCAGGCTCGTTCTCAGGGATGCTGCTCCCAGCTCTCTGGGGGACAGCTGTAGACCTGCTCTGAGCATGGAGGGGGACTGCCGAGGTACCTGTGCCTAGGTGCTCCTGGGTCTGGGGGATCTGGGGGGGTAATCAGTGGACACCCTGCTTTTTGTCCTCCAACAAGGAAACCCAGGCCCAGGGCTGGAAGGGTCAGGTGGCCCACTGTCAGTGGAGACACACCAAATCAAGCCATTTTTGGAGCTGGGGCTGGCAACCAGCAGGTGGCCAGTGTTGGGGTCCACCCTCTGGAGCCCAAAGACTTGGTCCTGAGCAGCGCCAAGGTTTAGCAACGTCTGCGTTGCGGAAGCTGGTCACGACCCTTGCTAAAGCCACACTTCCTCCAGCTTGCTAAACCCACAGCCACGTTACCAGGCCCTGTATCCCAGCTATAATCAAGCACAGAGAACTGTGAGCAAAGAAAAAGAATCCATTTCTGCAACAGATGAGCCACTGTAAGGTCTCGGTGACGGTGTGGGAAGGCTCGGGCCCTAGACCCCTGCTCTGCCCCACCACACGATGTATTTCAAGGGGTGCTTAAAGCTCACTCAGGCTCCTGACCGCTCATGTCCACCTAGAACACACTGGGCTGGACTGGTGGCGGAACGGTGCTGGGGAGCTCCTCTGGGGAGCCCCACCTCAGGACTGGGATGTCCCTGCTGGGTAGCTGATCCCCTTCCTGTGCTCAGAGGCCCTGCTCCCTGGGGGCTGAGGCCTGGAGTGGGGAAATGATGAGGTCCCCTCTTGGGATAGGACTGGCCTCCTATTGGAGAGGCCTTTGTCTACACTCAGGTCTTTCTTGCACTAAAGAGGAGATGGGCCCTGGCTCTGGGTTCTCATCCCATCCCAGACCAGGTCACCACTATGGGGCTTTCCTTGGAAGTGGGGCTGGGCGGGAAACAGGAATGACAGTGCCCAAGGGGATCCTGAGCTGCTCTGGAGCACAGGGGCCCCAACACCTGCATTTCTGGAGACCCCTTCCCCTGCATGCCCGGCCCTGCCCGCCTGGCTGCCTGGCTCCCCTCACCCCTTGTCCCTTTCTGTCCACCCTTCTGCCTCGCTGAAGACAGGCTGGGAAGACCCCAGAGAGGCTGTGGTCCAGTCGAGGATGCTCAGCTTCCATTTGGCCAGGTCCCTCGGCCCTCTTATGTTGGAGCACAGACCCAAGACTTCCTGCCCAGGGCCCCCGATTTCTCTGACATCCCCCCACGCCCAGCTGGCGTGGACACTAACTCCTTCCAGCAATAAGAGCCTACCGTCCTAGGTCGTGGAGAGTACTGTGAAATCAAACCAGTGCACTTACCAGGAGGCACGAGACTCTTGAAGACAATGTAAAATGAACCTTTTTAAAAAAAAGTTTAAAGAAACACAAAGAAATAAAATTAATTTTAAAGTAGGTCTGGCGAGCATCTGGATGTTTTCACAATTGGCGGTTCTTTGGGGGCTGATGGCTTGCTGAGGCTGCCACTGTAAGGCTAAGGGCTGAAGGCGGGAGGCCAGCTAGGCTGTTAGCACACCTGCTCCTTTTCACGGCGCCATCTTAGTTGGCCAGTGTCCCCGGGAAGGAGGGCAGCTTGGCTTGTTGACAAATAGAGCCCCTTAGGTTGAGGGTGATTCATGTCTAGATTGGGCCCTGATTTGGGTCACCTGTGGACCTGCCAACTTGTCTGTGGAACCTGGGAACGTCAGACACGTGGCTCCGCCTGCCCTTGGCCAGTAGCTGATGAAGAGGCTGCATGGGGTCGGAGCACAGAGAGGAATGCCTTCGAATCAGAACATTCGTAGGTAAGGGCGGGGGGCTCCCTTTACCAGAGATGCCGGAGTGGGTCTGGGCCTGAAGGTTCAAGGTCCCCTGTGCGACTCTGGGTGAGATACAGACCTTGCATGGAAAAGGGGCTCTTGGAGTAGCTGCCGCCACCACCACTGCCACCGCCACTGTGGATGAACACATTCTGCACTAGTCCCTGGAGCAAAGTCACTGAGTCCTCATGACAACCCCACAGTGGGGTGCTATTTCCATTTCACGGATGGGGAAGTGGACAGTGGGGGTCAAGGAGCAGCCCCAGGCCATGCATGGAGAAGAGAGTCCTATAGTAATTAGTTACTATTAGGAAATCCCCAAGCCTTGGCTCCCTCCATCCTCCAGCAAGAAATGCCTGACTCCACAACCCACTGCCCGGAAGTGGAAGTCAGTTCTCCATGGCCTACAGAGAGCCTGGTTCATTCATTCTCTTTGAAGAAGGTCTGCCTGGTCACCTGCAGGGTATGGGCTCATCCAGGGTTAACGGTGGCCTCTCTGCAGTACTGTGGGGACAGGAAGTCCCCCTCCACCCATTCTGGGTGTCAGGATTGGTTTCTTTCTGGCTGCACATTGAAGCAAACCCAGCGGCACTGTACATCCTGCCTCTGGGGGCTGAGACACCGAAGCAGGAAATTGCATAACAGGCTTCGCTGGCGCCCGCCACCCAGAAGCCATCTGGGTGGTGCCCTTCCCTGTTGTGGTATGACTTTTGGTTATGGAGTACCTGGGGGCTGCCCACAAGAGACCATGGTGTTTGTGTTTGTACCAACAGCCGGACAAAGGTCGGATCATGCCAGGATGGAGCCAGAGGAGCACAGGGACACAAATCTTCACTGACATGCGGCTGTAAGAGGGTGGGAGCGGCAGCTGAGTGTGGGGAGCAGAATGTGCAGGGGGGGCCTGCCAGTAAAGTGGATTCCAACTAGCATCTGATCACGCAGTGGAAGCGCTCTAGCCGCTCAAGTGATAGCGGGTTAAATTTAGAAGTCCAGACTGGGCTGAGAGACGCAGGCACCAGGCTCGGCCCAGCTGTGGCAGGTTCCTCTCTAGGGTCCCAGGCCTGCGGGAGCCGGCTGTCTGGGTGCTGGGCGAGGCCCACTGACCTAGATGTCTGCAGGAGCAACTGCTCAGTGACCCCACATGCCTGCCTGCCACCTCGACAGCCACTTGGTAGAGCCACCCTCTGCTCTGGCGCTATTTCTAAAGGGACAAAGACTCACCGTAGGCTAGGTCACCACAAAGGAAACCCCACTGGGTCCCTAAAGGAGACAGTGTCCCTGGGGACTGGTGGCTGTGAGGCTCTGTCAGCCGCTCAAACTTTTCTAGCCAGGCCGCTTTCTGTGACCTCTGGCTCTGTCACTCAGCCTGGGTCCTCCACAGACACTGTTTCCCACCCGGCTGGGGTCCAGGCACTTGATTAAAGCATGTATTTGAGGAAACAACAGGCCACCAGGCACACGTGCTGTCCATAAGCTGTCCGCTAAGGTCACTGCTATGCATCTGCCACTGTGAAGATCCCATATCCCAACAGCTGGCGTCAGTTACTGACGCCAACGCCTTTCCGGCTGCGGTGATCACATACACAGCTGCTCTTCCTCTTTCTCAGATGATGGAACTGACCCCCAGGAGGGACCCAGGGCCTGCTACAGGTCTCTCAGTTAGGAAGTTGCAGAGCTGGGCTGGCATCAAGCACCTGGCCTTTGACCCCATCCTGCTGCACCACGGGTCTCAGCCTTCGTGTACCAGGCTGCGCCTGCAGTCGGCGTGGTGCAGAGTAGGGCCTCAGCTGGGAACTTAAATGAGAGGAAAGGCGTGTGAGTGGGTGAACCCCATCTCTCAGCCCGTGTCCAGAGAGGCAAACCCTGAAATTGACCTTGGTCCTACTGAGCCCAGTTCATATTTTATCAGATATTTTTAACCAGACAGATGAAGTGTGGCCTGGCTGCGTATTTTCAGCGAGCGAGGTGCAGTTAGGAGTCCTACACTATTCTTGGCTGTCACTGGTCTGGCTGAGTGAGGTCGGCAAGTCGCTGAGTTTCCCAATCTTCAGGCTGGATGCACACACACCCAGCCTGCCTTTTCTGGCCATGCCAGACGACATGCTTCAAGTCAGACATGCAAATGGGGCTTCTCCCCAGAGCCAACACCCTGGTTAATCTCAGAGACCAGAGGACCTCATTTTAAATATGGCTAAACTCCTCTGCCACGTGCAGGCGACAAGGACCAGGCTTGGTTACTCAGGACTCTTAGGCATCCTTTATAAATATATACTGAGTACCAGTCAAATGGTCCGATGATGTAGTAAAGATATTTTTTTCACAGCTTTATGGGGAAATAATTCACATATCACCCATTTAAAGAGTATTTGTCTGGTTTCAGTACACTTTGCAGATACGTGCAATTGTCTTAGTTCACTGGGGCTGCTATAACAAAATACCATAGACTGGGCAGCTTATAAACAACAGAAATCTACTTCTCACAGTGCTGGAGGCAGAAGTCCAAGATGAAGATGCCAGCAGACTCAGTGTGTCATGAAAGCCACTTTCTGGTGTTTAGATGACGTCGTCTCATTGTCTTCATGTGGTGGAAGGGGCGGGGGTCTCTCAGGCCTCTTATAAAGGGGTGCCAATCCCATTGGCCTCCCAAAGGTCCCAGCACCCCCACACTGGTGATTAGATTTCAACACATGAACTGGAGAGGGGACAAAACATATGGACCATAGTGTAAATGATCTCCACAGTCACTTCTAGGATTTTTATTCTAGCATCTCAAAAAGAAACCCTGTACCTTTCAGCCACCACCTCTTTAGGCCCCTGTGCTAGGCAACCACAAACCCATTTTCTGCCTCTCTAGAGTTCCCTGTTCTGGACATCTTGTATGAATGCATGCAAATGAGTGTGCTCTTGGGCCTGGCTTCTTCTCTGGGTGCAGTCTTCAGAGTGGAGTGTGCAGCACAGCCTCCCTGTGTGACAGACACATGAAGGGTCTCCTGGCACTGGGTGCCTTGCTGAGTGTTGAAGACGGTGTGGCTCAGAGTGAAGAACCTAGGTGTGTTGCAAAGAGCTGATGCCACACCCCTGGGTCTGCAGAGGGCTGAGGAGGCTGAATGCAGGCCATGACCTGCTGGTGCTCAGTCTGGAGGGTCTAGGAAGGCTTCTCTGAGGAGGTGGCCCTTTTGAGGAGGCTCGGAGGACCAAGAGGAGTTCCTAGGCCATGCGAGAGAAGCCCAGGAAGGGGCATTCTACAGAGAGGAAGCAGCCCGAGGGGCTGTGAAGCAGGGCAGGGAGGACAGCGGAGGACATCTCACCATGACAGAGATGTCAAGTGTGACCTTGGTAGTCAGGGCAGTGAGCAGGTGCTGGGCGACACCCAATGTCTCTACCTGAAGCCTCTGTGGACACTCTGCCCAGGGTCACTGCCCAGCAGCAACTCTCTAGACAGCAGCCTACTCTTCTGAATGACTGAGAGATGGGTGAGAAAAGAGTGCCATACCAGCTCACATCACCTGGGTGAGGAGGGCTAGGTCCCGGCTTCTTCTAGCTGGAAGTGGAGGCAGGACAGAGCACATAGGCCAAACGGATTAACACGCTCTGTCTTCAACTGTGCGTCTTTCACCAGGTCCCCCTTCTTCTCAGGTCTTGGTGTCCTCAGATATGGAATGGATATGGATGAAAGTGGTCCTTCATAGGCTCGGGGAGGACATCTAAAGGTTTGTTGGTACCAAGCACTTGGCCCAAGCCTGGCTCTGTAGGTGCCCAGTAATTGTGATCCACTTTTACTGTGAAGTCCCCAAGCCTCAGTTTTCTCATCTGTAAGACAGGTAAGGTTACGCTCTGTTCACAGGGGAGAGTGATGAATAGGACCACTGAGAAAAGCACTCGTCACAGGCCCTTGCCCGTAGCCAGGTGTCAAAGGGTGTTAGCTGTTTTTGACCTTGTAACCAATATTAAGTGGCTTTCCTTTCTGTCCCAATTTCAGCAGAGACTTTGAAGATACAAAACACCACCACTCCTGTGGTGCATGCGTGTAATCCCAGGTACTCAGGAAGTGAAGGTAAGAGGATCATGGTTCAAGGGCAGCCTTGGCAAAGCTAGGGCAAGACCCTAGCTGAAAGCAAACTAAAAGCTAAAGGACTGGGGGTGTAGCTCAAGTGGTAGAGCACTGTGGTGCTCTCTGGCCAGCCTTTGTCCCACTGCCACTGAGGGGTGTGAAGCAGACTGAGTGGGAGGCCACTTTGCACTGGATCCCTGTTGATAGGCCAGGTGTTCTTTTGGTGCAGCTGCTTCAATCCAAATCCTCCACCCCTGGCTGTGGGCTGCCCTGGGATGGCCATCCAGTCTCCCTGCAGCCTCACTAGCAGTTTGCACTACCCTGTCTCTGTGAGCTCCGCCCTGGGCCCCACCAAGGGTTCCAGGCTCCATCAATGTTAACCATGGTGCCCAGTGTTGGAAACCACCCTCGGAGCTGAGATTCTGTGGATCCTGCAGGCAAAACTGGGCTCAGCAGCTGTCCCAGCAGGTGAGTTCCACTCCCCGGGCGTGGACAGTGTCTGAGAGGCACAGTGTGAGCAGTGATGCCCACCTTTTGGGCTGTGAGGATTCAGTGAGGCTTAATGAAGTCACCATTCCATCGGCCCCCACCAATGCTGGTTCGGTATGATTCACTAGTATTTATTATTTTTCTGTTTTTGTGATAAAATATGGGCAAGCTGACCAGCTTAATCATGGTTAAGTGTATAGTCCAGAAGAGTCAAGAGGTATATTGACATTGTTGTGTTGCACTGTGATTTTACAAATTAAAACTCTGTCGTCAAATAACTCCCTGTGCCCTCCCTAGCCTCTGGCTACCAGCATTTTATTTAACTTTAGAGCCAGGCCTCTCTCCACACCTAATGTGAGTAGAGCCCATCCGGTATTTATTTTTGTGTGGTCTTCTTACTTCACGAAATTACCAGGCTCACTCACCTGGTGGCATGGCCAGCATTTCTTTTCTGCTGAGGCACTCTTTAACTCTGGAGGCATTTTTGTCAGAAGCTGTTTGTCTTGGAGCTTGGAGGCATCTCTGATCCAGCCCCATCATTGCTGCTTATGGTGTCAATGACAAATGTGACACTAAGAATGAGGCACAGGGAAGTGAACATGTGGCTCCCTCCCAACTGGTTAAAATAGGAACATTCCAAAGAGAGAAATTCCCATCTGGAAAGTTCTTGCCTGGAAACTCCTGTTTCCAGTGAACCAGGTTATTTTGGTGCCTGAAAAGGAAGGGTAAGGGTCTGAGGAAGCGTCTTGCTGAGTACTCTGTGAACCTGCACTTCAGGGTGATCTGCAAGATCTTGATGACATCCATGGGGTAGGTGTAACCTGGAACTTCCTGCTTTCTTTTTTTGGCAGCACTGGAATTTGAACTCAGGGCCTCACACTTGCGAGGGAGGTACTCTTATCTCTTGAGCCACTCCACCAGCTGTTTTTTGTTGGGTATTTTTGAGATAGGGTCTTGCAAACTATTTTGCCCTGGTTGGCCTCCATTCTCTTGATCTCTGCCTCCTGGCTGGTTATGATTACATGTGTGAGCCTCTGGTGCCTGACTGGATGGTTTTAATCTGGACATGGCCCATTGTAAGATGTGGAGAGGACATGGGGCCCCCATCTCAGTGTGACAGTGGCCTGGCATGTGCCCTGATTTGCAGCCACCAAAGTAGATGTGACGGCTGGCAATGGATCAGTATGGAATTCTGCCTGAGGGTCTTAGAGCACCTCTGATTTGGGCAACGTTTTTCACTGTAGTCAATACAGTGCTTGGGCTGAGGATTTCCTGTAAACAGCCTGCCACTTCCTGTGAAAGTGAGCAGGGAGGCCACCAGGAAGAAGTTGTAGCTGTCCTTGATAACCCCAAGGCAGTTCTGCACATTGACACCTTCCCTCCCCACCACCATGTTGGCTGGAAGTTTGTCAACTGTCCCTGGCATGAGCTGAGCTGATTATGCATAGGAACCATAGCCTGGGGACTGGTAGACTGGGTGGTTTGAAGGTTGGGGAACCCAGAAACATTAGAGTCCTGCCTACCATCCACCCTTCTTCCAGGCAGGCTGAGGGGGAGGTCGTGCAAGACAGGGCACCTGCTCATCAGCTGGACAGGGGTCCTGAAGTCCAGGCAACCTGGCCCAGAAAGCTGGAACCTGCAAAGAATGTCCTTGGGGACCACCTCACCCCTCCAGGGCCAAATTCCAGGCATACTAGCATTACTCTGGTTGCATGGAAGGAAGGTGAAGGGTCAGACTCAGGTCCACATGGTCACCTGGGACTCTCACATGGCCTCATCACCTGTAATCTGATTGGTCAGATTAGAATTTCTGCAAAAGTGGTGAAAAGCGGAGGCTGTGCTTCTCTCTTTAAAACAGAACGAAAAACAACCTTTCAGGTAGAGGTTTGCAAAGCGAACAATCTAGTTTGTTATGGCACAGGTCTGCCTGTGACCGTTGTCATGAACTGTCCAGCACCCCCAAAGCCTCCTGGTCCCCGTGCTATGAGAAATACGCTCACTTGCTCAGACACAAGGATGGACTCAGAGATGCGAAGTGCAGCAAGAGCAAGCCTTTAATGACGGGGGTCTGGCTGGCAGCACACTCAGAGCGGTTACACCAGGCATTTTATCCCTAGTGCAGTCCCTCCCCCTTCCTCATTGGCTGAGTTTGACAGGGTGTACAATCTTCCCAGAAGTCACCTAAGTTTTATTATTTCCTATTGGGTTATTTTATCATATGCCTCTCCTGGGATCTGTCAAATTTAAGAAGCGGACTTTAGTTGTCTCTATTCCTGTTGTTGCTTTGTGGAGGGAAGGCCTCCCTGTGATATATGCTTTCTGACAATTTTTACCCATTTCCTCCTTTCATCGTTTACACTCAGTTTAAGTTCCCCTGTCAGTTGAGCCTCCCCAAAATCCTGTTTGTGACTGGCCAGGTGCACGGGCTTTGTTACGTCCCCAAGCGGCTATGGAAGCAAGTTATCAGTAATTTTCCACTCAGGGTTAACTGTTTTGTCTTGAAAATGGACCATCACCGACTATTTTCAATAACTCCCTCCTCTTTTTATTCTTACTGGTCTTATTTTCACTTTTGTGTTCTCTGTTTTTCAAATTGTTCTAGAATCTGTTGACTTTCCTTATCATAGGAGAATGTATCTAATTTGATTTCTAACTATTCTGTTGATAGGTCATGGGCACCTGTTTGCTAACTGCTGCCTCAATTAGTCTCTGTGCTAACCACTTGCACATCCTATTATATCAAGACCCCAGCTATGATGATGAGAGATGTAAGACTGCGACTTTTCCACTTCCCAAACCGTCCTTCTCACCATCCATTGAAGGAAACATGGATGCTAGCATCAGCCAACACCATCAATTGCTGAAGTGCCTTTTTGAATGTGCCACTAGGAGCTGTGTTATTGGGAATGAAAGTACAACATTTTCCTCCCAACAAAACACAAACTCCCCCTTTCTCTGCCAGACTCATATCCAGCACTATCCTATCTTCCTAAGCCATTCTGCTAGTGGCATCAACTGACTAGCTACCCCCTGAAGAGCATCCTGTTGACTGTAATAAATGTAATTAGTCCAGTTCACATTTTTATTAATTGTGAACTGAAGAAGAGTGCAAGCTCAAATCTGTGTATATGGTTGTGGGCCTTAAATTCATTGGGGGAGCCCCCTCAAGACTCCTACTGAGTCAATATATGTAGATATGAGTCAAAAGACCCCAACATTGTCTCCGTGCCCAGTGATTACTTTTATCCAGTTTGGGTAGCTGGGGGAAGGCCAGGGCGAATGAAATGGTCAATGGAACTAGGGAACAAGTCCCAGTCCAGTTGGATTATAATATGTCATGGAGGTTCCTTTTCCCATAATACCACCAGACATTGGTCCAGGTTATGTAGAGGAGCTGAGTAATTGCCAACGCTTGACTCACTGGTGATTTTTAAGACATTGGTGCAAGTTGTCAGTTCTTCCATGGGTCTAGTGAACTTTTCCCCCTGCCTAGAGAGGCAAGAGAAATATATTCCCTATAGAGAAAGAGGGGACTGCCCTGGGGAAAGAGCAAAGACAGACTCTTACAGATCTCATTTCCCCATGCATCTTGCCTTGGTATAGGGCCAGCATGCAATGCATTCCGGAGATCAGTATCCCATCTGAGGGGAAATGGAACCACCTGTGCCTGTGGCCATCCGGCAGCACACATGTAAAAATCGCTCTTGTTAACAGCCTGTACTGTAAATTTGACCCATTTGACCCTGGCATTCATATCACTATACCCAGTTTCCATTCCTAGAGTCTGTCTTAAATCTTTTATCTCAACTATCTCTACTCTCTTGGGGTCATTATTTGGCATATCAAAGTTCCTATCAGGATCTAGGGTTGCATTGGCATCAACTGAGTGTGAGGTTGTATTTATGACCAACTGGAGGATCAGTCATCTTAGAGGTTCCTTCCTGAAACATCTGCTCCTAATCCATATACCCGTGGTGCTACTTTAGGCTCCTGGTCTAGGGCGGCTGGGTTGTCTAAAGTCAAAAGTATGGGATAAATTCTGGCAATTGTTTGGTGGACTGCCATTAGATAAGTGTAGTTTGGTTTGTAAGGGGGCCAGTTTGGAATTAAATCTTTGGACAGAGACAGTTCAATCCTGATATTGGGTTGTCTACCAGACCTTGCTCCAACTGGAACAGGGGAGGCTGAGGCTATCTATGCCCCTCTCATCTCTCCCCACATAGGTTCTGGGCAGAGGTATTTACTTTTCCCTGGGAGTTGTCTTTGATTTTCTAGATTTCTACAAGGCAAAACCTGGCAGGCATCAAATTTGAGTTTGAGGTCCTGAAGTCTTGGTTACAATAATCAGTAATTTAACCACTATCCATCTTTCACTCCTGGTATAATAACCCATGGTAACCACATCACTGCCCAGAGGTGGACCCATCTTGTACCTGCTATCAGAGGGCCTGAGGGTATCCCTTATACCTTTCTCAGAGTTATTTTTAGAGGTTCCTCAGGAGACCTATATACTTTCCATTGGTCCCCTTTCCCTTTTCTCTGGCTTTCTTTTACCAGTGCTCTGGCTTGGGTGTAATGAGTCCACCCTTTTTCAGCTGTTTGTACAGCTGTCTCAGTGGTCAGGAGCACTTGATAGGGGCCTTCCCAGCTGGGTTGGAGCTTGTCCTCCTTCCAAGTCTTGATCAGCACCAGGTCACCAGGCTGGAAGTGATGAACTGTGGATTGAAGAGGCGGAATCTGGGCGAGGAGTCCTTTTAGCCTAAGAGATGACAGGGTAGAAGATATGGCCAATATACAGTTCCTTAAAAATTGATCTTTGGTCTCCATGGTAGGAAGATCAGCAGTCCTGCCCAGGTACGGGAGCCCACAGAACATTTTATAAGGGGACAGTCCCACGTCTTTTCTTGGGGCTGTCCTAATCCTAAGGAGAGCTACTGGGAGACATTTGGTCCAGGGCAGTTTGGTTTCTACAATCAGTTTGGTAATTTGTTTCTTAAGGGTCTGATTCATTCTTTCCACCTTTCCTGAGGAAGGGTGATGCCAGGGAGTGATAGTTCCAGTTAATATCCAAATTCTACCTTATTTTCTTTAACACCTTTGAGGTAAAGTGACTCCCACTGTCTGAGTCAATATTCTCCACCACACTAAACCCAGGTACAATCTGTTCCAAGACTACTTTGATGCCGTGCCCTGCTGTGGCAGTTGAGAAGAGGAAGGCCTCCACTCAGCCAGTGAAGTGATCCACCATTTCCAGTAGGTATCTTTGTCATCCCACCTATGCATCTCTGTGAAGTCTACCTGAATGCTGTGAAATGGTCTTAGCCTGGGTGGTCTTCCCCTTTCATCTGTCTCCTCACTACCACCTTTTGGTTTATTCTCTGGCAAGTCAGACATCCCCCGCACACCGTTCAGCAATGGTATAAATACCCACACATCCATAATTTCTAAGAATTGTGTCACACATAGCTTAGGGACCCCCGTGACTTCCCCTACCAGCCCTCTCATCATGGGCTGGCTTATCATTTCTCTCCCATCAGGGAGCACCCATCTTCTATCTCCTGTTTTAGTTCTATTTTATCTAGTTCCTTTTCTTTCTCTTTAGTGAACTGGGGCCTAATGTTACTTTTGAAATACTTGGGATCAAGCTAAAGAATCTGATTTCTTCTTCCAGAGAGGCTCACTTGGCAGCCTTGTCTGCGAGTCTGTTACCCACAGCCTCCATAGAGCTTCCCTCTTGGTGTCTGTTTACATGGACAACAGCCACTTCTGTCGGGAGTAAAAGACTTTCTAAGACTTGCTTGACTAATTCTCCATGGACTAATTCCTTTCCCTTGCTATTTCTGAGACCCCGTTCTATCCAATTTTTCCAGGAGTATGCACTACTCCATTAGTGTGTTTAGAGTCAGTGTATGGTGGTGCATTCTTGGCTTTCGAGCAATTTTAAGGACTGATTAAGAACATGTAACTTGCAGGTCTGACCGACCAGCTATTAGGTAGTCTACCTCCTTCACATAAAGAATGTTTGGTTCCAGCAATGAGAGTGCAGCCATTATGTCTCTTTCTCTTTATTACCTGGGATGAGCCATGAGGCTTCTTAACTAAGAGGTCTGGGGTGTTGTATAGTGACACTCAGGGCTCCAGCAGCCCATCTTTAATTAATCCCTCAATTACTGGTTGTAGGTCCCTTCTTCCTCAACAGGGATGGGTTACTGCCTTCTACAAACTATTTCCCTGGGCTGTTTTAGCTGAATCTGTAATGATGTGATTTTTAAGCCTCCCCTGTTGCCCTCCTTGACTCAAATGAGGGGATGAATCTTCCATTCCTCCGCTTTTGTCAGAAAGCCATTTTGACTTGTATTTGTCCCTTTTTATTTTAAAACAAGCCTTTTGGACAAACCTTATCCTATAAAATCCTTTATTTAAAAGTCATTTTCCTTTACCTTTAACCTTTTTTTCCTCCTCAAAACATACCCAATACCTTTAATATTTTTTAACTTTTTTTTTATTAAATGTTTAAGAATTTAAATAAAATTGTTTCTTTTCCAATAAAGTACTTTTAATCTTATTTTATGAAGACCTGTGAAGAAAGCAATTTTATTTTTTCAATGACAATTTATAAAACACTTTTGCTAGGTGACCCAAATATTTTAAGAGTAGGATCTGAATTATAATTTCAATAGAATGAAACACATTAAGGTCATTTGTCCACCTATATTTAAGCAGTTTTAAATAGCTTCATATTAAAATAACTTTACTCCTAAATACTTAAAAGTTACCTCTTGGATACTTGTTTTTTGTTAGCCTTAAATATCACATCAACCTTATAACAGTAGTTTAAAAACATCTTGAAGGTGTTTATACAAACACGTACAAAAGTTTTATAAATTAAGCATGCCAAAAACTGTCAACTTTTTGAGCTGGAATTTCAGGAGCAAATTAAATTTTACCCAATGCTGTTTTAGAACTCATTTTGTTAGAAGTTTATCTTGGTGGCTGAAGCAAAAGTAAATCTCTAGTAAGACTGTTGTGGCAGCCCTTAGAATTTTAGCCTCCATTAAGTCAATCATAAACACAAGACTAATAGACATAAACAAAATGACACATTAAAAAAAACCAAAACAAAACAAAAAGCAATTAGAGTGTCCTCTCAGAAAAACCTTTTAAACTATAGGTGTAAGTTAGACTCTTCCTCAGGGCCTTTTAAAAACCTCCAGTTTCAGTTATAACATCCCTCCTTTCTTCCCTGTAAATAGGGTATTCGTAATGGACATATCAGCCCAAATATGGACACTGGGTCCTAGGAACTGGTCCAACTGTTCTGCTAAACCCAGGCCACTTTTTAAAAGTGGTTTCATCTCATTCTTAAAATTTCTATCTCTGTATTTGTGAGACGGGCATTTGCAATATTGCTCCTGGCCCCATGGGAACTTCCTGGAGAAGAAACACTGAATGAGAACATTTTCAATATTCTTTTTGCACTGTCCTAATTCCTTTCTTAAAGTTGGCTCAACTTCTCCACAATCATTAGTCCCTGTTTCTTCTGGCTCCTTCTTTGTCCCTGGCTCCTTCTGCTCCCCAGTCTGCAGAGCACTTGCAGGGGGCAAACCTGATAAGGGGTCCCAAGGTTTTTCCTCGAGGTCCTCCTTTTTTCCTTTAAGAGGAAACATAAGGGCCTGCCCCCGTAACCAGCAAAGGGCATAATCTTTTTTCCTCTTGTGTAAAGGAGGTCTTTTTATTTACATCAATAATTACAGCCTGGCATATCCAATCTTCATCTGAGCCAAACTTGCGCCAAAAGGCAGAAGATCCACGAATTGGATCTTTAGGCCATATAAAACAGTATTTGATCATCCATTGTTTCTTTTTGTCTTTGGCTCAGGGGCTGTCTCCCCAGAACCTCAGCATTCTCCCCAGTGGACTATCTGGCGGTAAGTCCAACAGAACCACCTTGGTTTTGCTTTCCTTAATTTCCCTAGGCCTAGAATCTGTTTCCCATTTTTGACAGGTCCCTGTGGCTATCCATATGCTCAACCCCCATACTGGAGGTCTCCTGCACACCCCGAGATTCACTTTGTCAGTCTATGGCCATTTTCCTCACATGATAATGAAAACAAGGAATGGGACTTTGTACTCACATTGTGTCTAAGGCACATCTCAACCTCTGAAAATACCCAGCCACCAAGGCAGTACTTATAGTCCAATTTTCTTGTCTTGGCTTGTGTATGAGGTTGCCTTCTTTTTCCTCCTTGTGTCACTCTCCCTGTCTTCCAGAAGACAGTCTTGGGTTTGTGTATGGCTTCCACAGAGAGACAGGGCACCCAGGCAGAGTAGGCTACCCAAAATCAGGTGGGACAGATCTACCCCTCGGCTAGGGCGTTGCTCCACGTGGGCTCAGAGATACCAGACAAGTCTCCAAGTTATAGGAAATACGCTCACCTACCCAAACTCAAAAGTGGACTCCGAGATGCGAAGTGCAGCAAGAGCAAGCCTTTAATGACGGGGGTCTGGCTGGCAGCACACTCAGAGCGGTTACACCAGGCATTTTATCCCTAGTGCAGTCCCTCCCCCTTCCTCATTGGCTGAGTTTGACAGGGTGTACAATCTTCCCAGAAGTCACCTAAGTTTTATTATTTCCTATTGGGTTATTTTATCATATGCCTCTCCTGGGATCTGTCAAATTTAAGAAGCGGACTTTAGTTGTCTCTATTCCTGTTGTTGCTTTGTGGCGGGAAGGCCTCCCTGTGATATATGCTTTCTGACAATTTTTACCCATTTCCTCCTTTCATCGTGGTTTACGCTCAGTTTAAGTTCCCCTGTCAGTTGGGCCTCCCCCAAATCCTGTTTGTGACTGGCCAGGTGCACGGGCTTTGTTTCGTCCCCAAGCGGCTATGGAAGCAAGTTATCAGTAATTTTCCACTCAGGGTTAACTGTTTTGTTTTGAAAATGGACCATCACTGACTTATCTCCAACAACCCTCTCTTGCCCTTCCCAGGCTTCTTGTCACTAGGATGAATTTTCCTTAGGTAGATTTTTGTATCAATGGAGGCACATATTATGTACTGCTTTTTATCAGGCTTCTCTCTCACCTGCATCATTATTTGAGATCCATCCCTGTTACCTCAGCTAATGTCACATTCTACGACTGTATCACAATTTGTTTATCCTCTCACCTGGGGATGGGACTGAGCTGGGACATTACAAGTGAAGTTGTGCAGACATTTGTTACAAACTTAGGGTGGACGGACATATGCCCTCAGTTCCCTTGAGTGAACGCCTTGGAGTGTGATGGCCGGGTCACGTGGCAGGTGTGGGTAAGCTTGAAAGAAATGTCTTCTGAAGTGGCCAGACCATTTTATACCCAACAAGCCGCATAGCTGGCATCCAGTTGGTTCACATTCTTGCCAACACTTGCTATGATTTATATATTTTTTAAAAAATTTAACTGACTCATAAAAACATAAAAAATGTGCTTATTTATGGAGTGCTATATTGTAACATGTATATACACTGCATAGTGTTTAAGTTAAACACTTATCTCCTCAAACATTTACGATTTCTTGATGAAGTCAAAATCCTTTCATCTCATTCAGTATGTTATCATTGTCTATAGTCACCCTACTGTGCAAGAGTGCACCAAGACTTCTCACTCCTGTCTAACTGTAACTTAGTACTCATTGTTCAACATCTCCCTATCCCACCTTCCCTACCCTCCCCCAGGATTAGTCTTCTTAATTTTAGACATTTTTTTTCCTTTGGTGGTACTGGGGTTTGAATGCAGGTCCTTGCACTTGCTAGGCAGTCTTAGACACTCTGACAGGTGTGTGGTGGTAACCTAGCATGTTTTAATTTGCATCCCCCAATGACTAATGATTTTCCCAGCTATTTTTTTTTTGGTACTGGTGTTTGAACTCAGTACTTCATGTGTGCTAGGTAGGTGCTCTGAGCCACTCTGCCAGTCTTTTTTTGCTTTATTTTTTGGATGGGGTTTCATACTTTTTTTTTTTTAACCTAAGACTGGCCTCAGATTGTGATCCTTCTACCTGTGCCTCCCGCATAACTGAGATTACAGTTGTTAACCACCACACCTGACTTGTTTGTTGAGATGGGTATCTTTGCTAACTTTTTGCTCAGGCTGGTCTTGAACCTTAATCCTCCCATTTTCTGCCTCTTGAGTAGCTATGATTACAGATATGTCCACCACACTTGGCCCACCATCTGTCTATCTTTCTTGGTGAAGTGACTATTCAAATACATTGTCCATTTGAAAAATTGGGTGGTTGCTGTACCACCCACATTTTAAGAGTTTATGTTCTGGATTCAAGTAACTTACCAATCTCTGGCTTATGGTTTTCATTCTATTAAATGTTTTTTGAAGAGAAGTTCTTTATTTTTTTGTGGTTCTGGGGCTCGAACTTAGGGCCTACACCTTAAGCCACCCTACCAGCCCTTTTCAATGAAGTGTTTTTTCAAGATAGGGTCTCATAGAGCTATTTGCCTGGGCTGGCTTCGAACTGTGATCCTCCTGATCTCTGACTCCTGAGTAGCCACCAGGGCCTGGCTAATATATATATATACATTATACATATATATGTATTCATATATATACATTCTTTTTTTCAGTACTGGGGTTTGAACTAAGGGCCTCACACTTGCTAGGCAGGCACTCTACCACTTGAACCACTTCACCAGCCCAAGAGCAGAAGTTCTTAATTTGATTAAGTTGAATTTGTGAACAGTTTATGGACTGTGTATTTGGTATCAAAGAAATCTTCATTTAATCCAAATCACAAAGATTTTTCTCCTGTGTCTCTTTCTGGAGCTTTTGTAGTTTTATCTTTTACATTGATGGCTATGATCCATTTGAGTTATTTTTATTATATGGTGCAGGGCAGGAACTAGAGTTCTTTTTAAAAATTTTATGTGTGGACACTCATCTGTTCAGCCATTCCCAGCTGCACTGCCTTCTCACTGTTTTTGAAGGGCAAGTGACTACACGTGTGGGCTTATTTCTGGCTGATCTATTTGTCTCCACACTAACAGCACATGGTCCCGCATACCGTAGCTTCGTCAGTCTTGAAGCCAAGCAGTTTAAGTCCTCCAACTTTGTTCTTCAAAGCTGTTCTATCTATGATAGGCCATTTGAATTTTTCCATATGAATTTTAGAATCAGCTATAAAAAAAAGCCTGTTGGGATTGCATTGAGTCAATAGGTGTATTT